GCAGATTAATAACTTAGACCAGTATTTATAGTCGGTTCTTATTTTAAAATTGTCTTACGATTAATAATATCTTATCTAAGATGCCTCTCTCTCGCTCTCTCTCTCTCTCTCTCTCTCTCTCTCTCTCTCTCTCTCTCTCTCTCTCTAATACGATCGATTCTGTGATTCGATTATAACATCTAGGGCTATAATATTTAAAACGGTCTTAAATATAAAAATCAATATATCACAGTTATAAAAATGAATCTTTTTTTTGGGACCTGAATAAATGTGTTTTCCAATGGATTTTTTTGTTCATTGAAAATGAATCCGGCCGCGGAATTGGCCTAACACGTCAGATTTCCTATTAGAAAATTAAGGTTAAATGTACCAAAATTGACATTTTTTTGCCACATTTATCTTTTTTTGCGGCTAAAGTTTAAAATTTGTTTTCAATTTCATTTACACCACTTTAAAGTGCTATCTTTTAAATATAAAATAAATTTATATTTATCACGAAACAATTATATTACAATGTGTACTGTCAAATTTCACGTAATTATATTTTCAAATATTTTTATTGGAACGTAGTTTAGTTACTCACGCACTTTTGCACCCTAACATCTATCCCGTGAAGTTGTTTATTACTATTATAATTTATGTACTTACATTTTACACATTTATAAATAGTAATGATCATATTATCTATTTAACTTAATGATTTATTATATGCTAATTATGTATATAAAAAAATCGTACTGTAATAGAAAATATAAATTTATTTTATAGGTAAAATATAATATTTTAAAGTGACGTAAACGAAATTGAAAAAAAAATTTTCTTTAGCCACAAAAAAAGTGATAAATATAGCCAAAAATGCCAATTTTTGCCTCAATTTAACTTCAATTTTTTCAGAAACCTGACAAGTTAGGCCAATTCTGCATCCGGTATCGTTTTCAATAAAAAAAAATCCATCGGAAAACATTTTGTTTATTTAGATCCCAAAAAAGTGTTGAACTGAGTTATATGAATATTGGCCTTAAAATTATTGGCCTTTCGCGGAGATTAGTCTTAAATTATTTGTTATATAATCTAAGACTAATCCGTTTTATTTCTGCATTATTTGCATATATTATCAATTTTATATCTTTAGGATAATCGATGCCTTTTCTCTCTTTCGAAATTTACGATCATTAAGGTCCGATTACACCAACGATACTTCGACTTTAAGTGAAGCTTAAAATTCCCAAGCTAAAACTTTCTCTTTTTAAAGCCGAGAAAGAGAGAGATAGAGAAAGTTTTAAATCTCGCTTAAAATCACAGTAATGTTAATATAATCGGGCCTAATGACAACAAAAGTATAGCGCGAAATTTGTTCATTTACCACTGTTTACGAAATATTATACACGATTTGATTATAAATAAGAGCTTGGGTCGACATGCGCATGTCATTTAACTCATTTAACTCATTTCCCACCGTTCTACTATATTTGTACAACATTCTTTTGATGTTTTTCTCAGTATGAAGTATATTTTCAATTTTTTATACATGTGGATTATACATGTGCATGGAGAAGAAAGTTTTTAAATGCTGCATATATGGAGAAAAAAATTTTTTAAATGTTGTCCTATAAATAAATAGGACAGTGGAATGAAATGGGTTAGTGCAGATAAATGAGCCACTTTGTGACATTAAAAAAAGCTGTTCAGCAAAGTGGCCCATTTGTATGCCCTGTATCCTAAAGGTCAATTACATCATTTCCGATTATTTGTTAAGTCATTATGTTTAGTCAATTCTGTTTAACAAATACTGTTGATCAGTTTCAATGAAATAATCGGTCGATTAAATTGAACGGATAAAAAAACAGTTCTAAGATGCCTTAATTTAAACATAAATTTTTGTCAAAAAATGCCACTAATTTTTTACGCTTCTGAAATTTCTTTATCTCTTTAATCTTGTAAAAATAAGAATAGAATTAACTATATTTGAAAGCATCAAATTTTATTTTTGTTTTTGCAACATTCGAGATATTATCGATAAAAGAATTTCAAGTATACATATAGAAAGTTAGAAGCTGATGGTAATATCTGAACATTTTGAAAAGGGCAAATGTCCATTCTCATGATAATATATCGCAAGTTTAATCGCCGTCGTTTTTCACGATTCCGTTTTCATTACTTTTATCATTTATTATCTTTATTATCGTTCATTTATCTCATTAATTTTGTTATTTGTATCCGTCATTTCTCGTAATTATGTCATTTGTTATATTAGTATAAAGCATACGCATCTCGGCGATGTAAGTGAGGATCGTGTGAGTATCATTTACCGACACACAGTTATAACGTTTTTCATTAGCAGAACTAATACGCTCAGTGCACATTAAAGTCGTTGTATACGAACCGTATAAAGATATATGTTTAATAAACATATAGGAATGAGTTAAATCGCAAATTCTCAATACATTTTATCGCACTATTTGATAAAATATACACTGGGCATTTTATTAATTGAGATATCTCACTTTTACATTTCCATCAGATCAGAGTAGGGTACAACGGTTTTAATGTGTACTGAGTGCGCGCCACTCGCGCCAGTTCCGCCAATGAAAAACGCTGTTAGTAAATATGGCGGGCGAGCTTGTGACGGTGCGCGGGTGGCTCTTCTTTTCGAGTAAGATTCCTGCGGCATTTACATATTTGCATGTAATCGCCCGTTATAATCGCGAGCTAAACGAGTACGCGAGTATGTAAGTATGCGTATTTATCGATCTGGCCACCGTTTTTACCGAAAATACGACGATCTCTCGAGTAGGCTATCTCTCATTCAGCGTGAAGAATATCTATCGCTGCGGTGCCGCGCGAAGTTGCCGAGTTTCACGAGAGATTTCAACCGATTGTTTCAACTGAGCAAGTTCACGCGCGTTACAATACCGCAGTCAGGTACGCAGTACGATCTTTTTACATAATTACGAATCTTTTTACATAATTAATACATAATTACGAATACGGAATCGATTTGCCGTATACATTTATTAAAGAAATTTAACATTGGAAGGCATAAACGCAATCAGGATTTTGTTTAGGGGAGGGTTAAATTACAATTAGGTTACAAATAAGGTTAGATTAAGATTTTAATTTTGTACCTGGAAAGGGGAAGTATAGTTAAGTGGTATGGATTACTGGACTTGTTTTGTTTTATGTTATTATTTTTAATTAATTATTAGCAGATGAAAATCATAAAATTACATATTATTTAATTTATTTTATTTTTCTCTTAAAATTGTAAATTGATTCTTCAAACTAGAAAAATTTAAATTCATAACACTAGTCGTCTTAGAAAAATTTTTTATCTCCAATTGTTTCTTCTTTTCTAAAATTAATTTCTTGTAAATATTCATTAAACGTAGTCCTCAAATGTGTAATTTCTTTGTAATTATTGTTCTTTATGATTTCTTATTTTTCATTTAAGAGACTGTCCTCCTCATGTTGAAAGGTAGTAATTAGCTTATTTTGAGTATTAAAAGTACTGTTAATAGCTAATACTATACTGGTATACTGTTCTTAATATTCAAAATAAGTAATTAATCACTACCTGTCAGTACTTAATGAACCAGTATTGAATTGGCCAGTATTGAATTTCTGTAAAGATAGAATATCAATCTTTATCTAAGCTAGGAGACACAAATTTTTATTATTGTAAATGTCGATGACTTTTCTAACTATTATCAAGCGAGTAACAAAAATAGAACTTCAGAAAGGCAAAATGACAAGAATTAATTTTTAAAAATTTTTAATTTTAATAAACAGAATATTAAGATAAAATATAATTAGTAAAATTCTTATAAAAACTTCGAAGATTTTTATGATAAATTTATTTATTAATCTTTCATCAATTATGTACTTTATACAATGAATATATACATATATCAAGGGGAATAGTATTTTATAGTAACTTTTGCATTTTTATTATTGGAAATAAGCGCATTTTTCTATATTTATGTCACTTGCAGCCATTGAATAATAAAGTCTTATATATATATATATATATATATATATTTCGATTCGATCTGCTATGATATAATATGTGAACGATAAGAAAATATGTTAAACAGACATTCGAAAATTATATTCATATTGCGATAGTGAGATGATGGCTGCGTTCAGCAGAACACAACAGTTTTGCAATCGTTTTATGATTGTCTACTGAGATGGAATCATTTTCCTCTAGATCTAAAAATATAATCCAATAAACGCGAACGAACTTCCAACAGTTGCAAAATAAACGTTCTGTTGAACGCTTTCATTGTAACACGCTAGTAATTAAAAAAAATTATTAGCGAGAGAAGTTGTGTTTAACATTGGCTGCGTTCAGCAGAAAAAGCAACTTTGCAATTACAATTCTTTAATATGATTAGTTTATACATTTAGATTCAATGAGAAACTAAGGGCAAAATCAATCATATTAAAGAATTTTACAACAGTTGCAAAGCTATTTTTTTTCCTGCCGAACGCAGCCATTGTTTGACTATTCGATAAATATAACTCTAAATAACAAATAATCAAAGTTGAGATATTAAATAAAAATTAAATTGAAAAAACGGGCAATTAAGAGTCTAAGCGAAACGTTCGGTCTTTATATAATTATATAAGATGTGAAACATATGTCTTTTGAAAATATAACCTAATTATCGCGTACTTAGGCTCTTAATTAATTGCCCGTTTTTAATTTTTGTCAAATATAACTTTCTCATCGATAACAATTCCATTTGATGTTCATTTCAGGTCGTTTGGTAGCGTCGAAAAGTGTGTCCATAGAGAAACAGAAAATTAGCCGAGTTCTCGGAAAATTTGTTATCTTTCGACAAAATAGTGCGCGCGGTCGCGAATTAGTGCACACTGGAAGATGACCGCGGGATACGCGGTACGGAAGGGAGGAGGGTGTGCGGTAGGGTGCAGAGGGTGCCGGCCGGTTATCAGAGGGGTCGGATACGCGGAAGCGCGCCAGTCGACGGCGAGACTTCGCCCGCGCAGCTTCCTCGTTTGTTTCTCCCTCGCCATCCATCCGACTGGTCCGTGCATCGTCCGCGTGTAATTTCATTTCGTCACGATCAACGCGTGGAATCGAGTAACGGCCAATTATTCAGCTTCTCGCGCGAACACTTCCGCGAAATATTCGCAAGTGGAAGAGGGGTCCACGTGACAGTTGCGAGAAGAACGCGGGACCGTCGTCGATCAAGAGTGACAACGACGTCGTCAGATCTTTGCTCGAGGAGACAGGATCGTTTGATGTAGAGCGACGAGGACGATGACGAGGACGACACGTCGATTTTTACTGCTGCTGCTGCTGGTAGGGGGTGAGTAATTTTTCACGTGCATAGTTTCATCTGAAAAACGTGCGCAGGCCTCGGTGTCGCGTGATCACCAAGAAGTGATAGCTATGTTTCAATATTTAATGCGTAAGTTATGTAAAGAGCAATTGAACGAGTTTTATTATTGCATTACTGTTACGAAAGATTTGTGATTCTTTTCACTGAGAGTAAAAAAAAACTAATGACGAGTCAACGAAAAATGTGTAATTGATAAGATGAGTGTCATATTAATCATCGTTGAAAATGGTAAAGAAAGTGATAAAAAAATTGATGTTAAATCCATGTATTAAAATAAATTTGGCATACCAATTGAGCAATGAATAATAATAAATTAAGAAATCGTTAAATAATGCATTCATATGCGGTGTGTAAGACTGCTATTTATAATCTGTTTTTATTTTAAGACCGTCTTAAATATGTCTTAAGATACTAATATGGCTCTGTGATTGGCTTATGACATCTTAAGATTGTGCTTAAGATGGTATTAAATATAAGAACTGAATACGAATACCAGTCTATCAAAATGTGGTATCGGCATTGCAAATGCATTTAAATGAAATAGTCCCTTACTCTTTTTTTCGCGAAAATTTAAAATTAATAAATTTGTATTGGGTTAAAACAAAAATTCAAGCAGTTGAAATTTCGTTAAAAATGAATCAAATTTAAATGAAAAAAGGATTTTTGAACTAAAAAACTCTGCTTTCAAATGATCTATCCCTATCTTTTGAGTTTCTGTATGAGTTTGGTCATTAATAATAGAAAACTATGATCTAGACAAAATGGAAAACATTTTTCTTACTTTACGGGCACATATTCCATGAAAAACTTGCGAAAATTTTCGACTTTCCAATGTGAAAGCTTAGTTTTCCCTACGAAACCATTTTTTAAAAATGTTTTTTAAGATTTTTTATTACTCATGTGAGTTATCGCAGATTAAATAAAGGGAACATCTTTACTTTGATTATTTAGAATTAAGTTAAAAATCATCGTACCATAATTAAACAAGTAAAATTCTTAAAGCTAAAATTTTTTTAACTCTATCGAGTATAATTTCTAAATTTTTTTAAAAACATGTAGACATATTACAAATGAAATAGCGCTGCAAACTTTTCCAATCCAATATATCAGACAAAAGCTTCTAACATGTCTTATAAAACATTCTAGCGAGTTACATAAGTTGGCAAATCAATCTCAATTTTTATGAAATAAATTGATTTCGTCGCATAAAATCAAGTAGACAAAAGACGCGAACGTGATCCTGATTACAATCTCTTCTTTGCTTTCTGTACTTTCCTACTTACATCGCCGTGACGATGACTTCTCGGCAGCCGTGCGACTTGTTGAGCCACCTCTTGGTGGAAAGGAAACGAGGCGTGCGCCGAATTCACACGAGGCGGGACAGAAATTCCGCTTGACGAAAGTGGATTGATTTTCTTCTTCGGACGAACGTATCAGCGTTTCCATAATCAAGTTGAGTAGACGCGAACGTCGCGCGACGTAACGTTTGCTACCGGTATCTACTCACGTGCTCTTAAGAAATACGGATCAATGTTATTTCCAATAAGTCTAGAAACACTTAGAATATTGAATTAATACATATGTATATTTGTACGCAATATAACATAACACACCTTTGCGAATCTATCACACTCGATCACCAATGTTATCTTTTACATGATGGAAAGTAGATATCATTTCCATTTAAATATAAGAAATATAAATTTGAATTCTTGTTATAAGCATTTATTATAAAAAGTATTAGAAAATGAAATATATATAGAAATTATAAAAACAGAAGTTTGTATTAATAATAAATTAGATGTTCAATACGAAAAGAACGATTTTGCTAAAGTATCTAAAAATTTTGTTATAGAGATCTGAAAATAATATTGTTAGATCATCAAAATAATGATGTAGGACGTTTAAACTAGTTGCTAGAATATCAAAGTTTTTTGCAACAGTGCCCATTAACGTCCTACATAATTATTTTGATGATCCAACAAAACTACTTTCATCCATATTTATTTAAATCTTTAGAATTTTAGCAAAATATTCAGAGAAATTTTAATTTCATTTATTTTATGAATAATGTTTAGAGAATATCTCTAAAACTTTTCATTCAAATGAAATATATAATTTTTAACCTAAGAAGTAACCTGGAATGTTTTTATGTTTTATCGCCCAACGGCGAAAAAATATGAATTGTAAAATTATATGGATATTGTTTAATACATTTTCTTTCTTTTTTAATAATTATTCTTTACGATTTTTTGAATATGCAATTTTATTGAAAATCCGCAACAAAAAAGTGTTATAATAATCAAAATTTTAATTAAAAAATGTTAAATCATGATAAACTTAACGTGTTTATTCCGTTTAATATTTATTTGGTTTCTACTTATTTTTTCAAAAAATTTTAATTAAATCCAAAATGTTCTCAAATACTAATAAATAAAAAAAACAATCAATAAATTGTTGATAATAATGATTTTAATCAGAGTGTAATAACCTCAAGTGATTGTTGAAAAGAATTAGATCACTGCTTCCAGGTTAAATTCGTTGGTTCTACTGAGAAAATCTACAGATCTATAAACAAGTTTAGATTGCGACAACTGTGATCGAAATTATCTAGCTTGGCATCAAAGAAAAATGCATCAATGTTCAAAAAGTGAGCGAGTAATATTCACGCTCGCGTTTCATTTTCAGAGTAAAATCGACGAAATAGAGAGGGAGAGAGAGTGTATTTGTGTCGGTTCTTTTACACGCTCTCGAAGAAGACACGTTTTCGCTTTTAATGTTTCTCATTCGCAGCGGGTAGACATTTGCTCATCTCTCGTTTCTGGCGCGCTTCAAAGTATTCAAGGTTTTTTGTTTGCAAAACACACATAACACAAATGACGTTCGGGTGTCCATTTTGTGGCGCATTGCACGCGCAAAGACGGATACTGCAATCGAAACAAAATGTGAAAAAAAAGAGCCGCCGTTAACCCAGTTTCTTCGCTATCAATCATCACACGGTATTCTGTGGCACACGAGGCGCTGATAGAATTTCTGATGGAGATTGTAGAAAGATAGCTGCCTTTCGCGTTAAAATTATACGAAACGCTTTCAAAAAATTCTACCGAGCATCTACCGAGTTCTTCGAAAAACTCCACATTTCTTTTTATGAATTCTGTGATAATATTCCAAATAATATATTTTTAATACGAATTTGATCTGGGATTTTTTTCTGTTTTCTTTTAACATAAATAAATTCACATTTGGAACTAAAATTTCTATAATTAATTTTTATAGCAAAGTTTATTTAACCCTTAAATGTTCTCACTACGGAAATAACACGTTAGTGTATGATACTCAACCCAATTTGATTGTTTATAAATCTAATAAAAATGAAAACATATTAAAAAAATTTTTTTTTAAATTGAAATGCTAAACATTAAAAAACATAACGATATCAAGATTTATTTTAAAAAAGCAGGACAAAGCATTAAAAAAGCGATTAAGAAAAGATCATCAGATATACCGAAAAAACGTTGAAAGATTAAAATTATCATAGGGTGTTTTTTCACATTTTATGATTACTTTTAAAACTTTTCTATCCTTTTCAGATCACAATTTATAATAAATATTACTTTTTTCCATAATTTATGCGTACAGTAACGAGTATAAAATATATAAAACGAGCATGTTAAATAAAGCAAGGTTATCAGAAAAACTGGTATCGTTTATAATGAATTAAACATTGTTGCAGTATACGCAGAATCATCTCGATGTCCCGATTCTTTTATTTTTTTTATGAAGCCGACAATAGCTTTTGTTATCTCAATTTTAATTTTACTTTACAATAAAAAAGTTACTCTTGTTTTCCCTCATAACATACTTTTACATTAAAACTGCGCTATCATTATACAAACTCGAAAATTCGTGTTATTTCACGAGCATGATATTTAAAAAAAAACGAATTCGCGCTGGATACTCGACGTGACAAACGAAACACCGTAGAAAAACGCCGCACTCCGTATAGGAAATAAAAATAGTTCGCACGAAGTTGGAAAAATTGAAGAGGCAGTGAGAACATTAAAATCGTAAAGCTGCGCAAAACGATAGTGATATTTATGAGATCATCCATTTTGACCTGAGTTTCGAATCGAGTGAGTTTGCATCATGAAGAGGGATACGGCAATCCAGCGAATCGATGTAAGATTTGCAAAAAAATGTCGCGATTGATCCTCTTAATTCTCTCCAATGCTACATCATCGTGTTGGATCACGTTTTCTGTATAAGCGCGTTACAAATCGCGCGAACATTTTTCTCTCTCTTAAAAGTGCGGAATTATTCAAAAGCCGTGGTATATGTATATGGATTTCCTCGTGAAACGTCGTTCGATGAACCGCGCGAGTTCGCCAAAGAAGGACAAACTCGAGAGGGTACATACATACATACAAACACACACACACATCAATGAAATGTACGCGACACGCGCTCGCGCTCGCGCCCGGTATGCTTTCGCAATCAGCGCGCGCGAGCGGAATAAAAGGGTTGAGGCCGCTGTAAAACGTTCGTTTAAAAAAAAAAAAGAAAAATATAGGTGACCCGCTTTCTCCGTTATCAATCATCGGCCGAGCCGATTTGGGGAAGAACGGGCAAAGCACAGGTAGCTACCGATAGAAAATTCCACAAATCGCGCGTGCGTCGCATATTTCGCGGCTCGTCGAGATACGTCCCGAAAGCGCGACGATGATTATCCAATTTTTTCCTCCTTTTTCCAAAAGAAAAAAAGTCGAAAGTGCATTTTTCGCTTGTCTGTCCTGTCCGTCTCTGGAAAAGTTACACTCGTGATCCATTACAATCGAATCACCTCGCGTGTGTACGTGTCTCCCTCGCGAAATATCGTTACGTTGCATGCGACGTGGGAGAGGTTGGGAATAAAAAAAATAGTAATTTACGTGAGAGCTCGTAAAAGGGCGATGCGTGTGTTCCGTCTG